ATTCTTCTGTCTTGTAAAAACAGGTGGGATAATTTTCATAATGCTAAGAAAATAAAATATACCATAATACGTGGTTTATATTATAGTCTATAACTAATCAGTTGTTTCTAAGCTTTTGGGATGCTGCTAGTTTTTGTCGTGCTTTTTATAATCTTAAATGTTTATGTGAAGCCTCAAGATACATGATATATAGAGTGGCTATACAAGTTGTTGCCATTTGTTTTTGCATTTTTAATAAATATCTTCCAGTTGCTTTTTTTCCTTTGAGTTCTTAATATTTAAAGTGTCACATTAAGAACTTACTTCAGTATTGCAAAGATTCAAGTTGATTCTATAAATGTCACATCCATCAGCTATTGAAAATGCAAATTGGGTTTTGCTTTTCTTGGTAACATTTATTAAATTTCAATTGAGCAACATAGGGAATTAGTATTTTCAATTCTGGGAAAGGATTGCAAAAACCTAATGTTTGTCTTGTTTTAATATATATTTCTTGAAATTCTTTTCCAGAAAGAAAGTATGCTCACCTAAAGACCTGCTGAGTATTGAACTTCAGCCCTACTTTATTTGTTATTTGTTACATTTTGCATTTTTCCCACAGTATTATTTTATTATTTATTTGTTAAATGTATTTGCTGCCTATTTTTCCTTGAGGCTAACTCTAGGCGGCTTACAACAATTTAAAATTTTTTAAAGGTGTTAAACTTGTAAAATTATTTGGCATTTTTGGTGACTTAAATGTTTAAGTTGATGAGCCAAAGAGCCTCAAATGAAATAATTGAGGAAATTCAAAAGACTAGATTATCATGCACAACTTTGAAGCTCCAGCATACTTTTCAAAATTCAGGGTAGCTTTATTTTGAATACAGTAGTAACAAATCTCACTAATTTAGACAATACCTTCATGATAGGTATTCTTATTTGTTTTATTAGGAATTTAACATAATGTGGTGACCCCCTATTTACTTTATGGCCTGGTCTGTTCCACTGTGCTGTGAATAGCGAAGCCTATTCAGTCATTCATCAACAGAAATATTTAAAACCCCAGATAATAATGCAATAATAAGCAGGCCTTGTGTTAGAGTTAATGGCATTGCTATCGTATGATCATCATATTGTCTCATGCAAGATATTTTAAAACAAGCAAGAGCAAAATTTCATCTCTTTAGAAACAGAGCAGGAAAGAAACCAGTTTGAAAACAGTATTAGAATAGTCTTCCAATAGTGATGAAATATCTTGCATCAATAGACTAATACATCAAATAATACATATATAATAAATACAGTACATTAAACATAGTCTTTGACTTACTACTATTTTTTCAGCAACAGTTTAACATTATTATGTTAAACAGTATAACATTATTATGAAAGTATGATGAATATGACCAATCCTCTGAGTTCTTTCCATTGCAACATTCGCATGGTGCTTGGCAACTGTCTTGCATTTGCAATGTGTTGCAATCCTCTTCAATCGTGTGATATCATGCCATCCACAGCCTTCCCTGTCAGCTTCCCTAGAAAGTCAATGGTAAACTGGCAGGGAAGGTCACAATTTGTTGTAATAAATCCCTCCCTGAATCTCTCTGCTCTTTTCTCTCACCCTTGTGCACCCTCCTCAATTCTCACTACATCTCCCTTGCATCCCCTGTACACTCCCCCTGAGCCTTGCCATGGCTCCCTCATGCTATCCTCTCACACACTCCCTTGCATTTTCCTCTACCTTCCACCTAGCATTTCCCATTTATCTGCCTGCCAGCCTCATTGTTAATTGCCCGGGCCTTGCAACTTTCTGCCAGTTTCTCCATTAACTTCGTTGTGGAAAGTCAGCAGGAAATTGTCTCACCTAACTATTATGGCATTCAGTTTACAACTGCATTGCTTTTTTTAAAAAAATAAAATTTTATTTTGAGTTTTCATGAAACAAAACATAAATAAAACATATTTTTTAGTGAACAGTATGGTTCCAGGTTTTTACATCTCTGTACAAATACAATCTCAGTTACATATTCATTTTTCATATTTAAATTAATATCATTACCTCTACTTTATATATTCTATATTAATTTTTTCTCAAATACTTCCCTCGGGCTTATTTCATAGCTTTCCCATTCATTTAGTCTATTTCATTTCCCTTTCAAAAATTTTCATACCTTCCTAATAATTGTACTTTTATCTGTCCTGTTTACAATTTCATCATATATTCTTATTTTATCATTTCCACAAAATTCCTCCTCATTTCAAACATTACAAAACAAGGTTTCCCCTTTAGTTACCAACTAGAGTATGCCACCTTCATATTATTTCCCTTTCAAATCCCATTAATCTTTCAACTTTTAAATTGTCCCCTTAAACATTTATAACATTCAACTCCTAATAGCTATATCATAATATATATCACTTTTCAGTTGGATTCCGCATGGTCCCTTCCCCTTAAAATACCTCCCATACACTTTAAACTTCAAAATAAGAAAAAGAAATTAATCTATTCAAATTCATCCTAGAAACTAATATTGATCTCAATATAAACATTCTCAAAGTTCATTTCAACTATATAGGTTATTAAGAATAAGTAATATACATATTTTCATACATCTCTTTTTCCCTTATAGTCTTTTTACAATAATCCTCATAATTCATTTCAATTAGATTCCATTTATTAACTAGTAAATTTCTCATATTTTTCTCCCTTTCATCTTTATTTTATTTATCCCTATATTTAATTTAACTGTTAACAAGCGTTCCATTAATAAACAATACCAGCTTCAACCTTCCACTTCCAGTAATAAACTACGTAGAAAATAGGAAAATATATGTTATTAAACATATATTTTCCTATTTTCTACATAGTTTATTATTTCTAATGTATTTATACTATCCCTTGTCACCTTGCAGAATCCTCTCTCTTGGCTTTTTTTTTAACCATTGTCTCTGTGTCTTTTAAATAAAACATTTCCTTTTATTTTTGTTAGGTTTCAATTGTTCTTTACTTCCTGATTCTGTTTCTTGTAATTTCTTTTACCCTTTATTTTTCCCCTCCTTTTCTCACTCCAGTTTTTGTCCCCCTCCCTTTTTAAAGCTTCCATCTGTAATCCTCTTTTCTACTTCTTCCTTACATTTTGTTTAGTTTTCAATCTGTTCTCTTTTCTAATTACTTCCTCTAATCCCCAAGTTTTAATTCCCTTTTTTCCCCCTTTTTGTTTCAACCCTCATTGTTCCATTTGTTTGTTAAAGATGGCCTCTTCTTTATTCAGCTCTTCATCTTCTGGTACTCCTTGTTGTTCCTCATGTTCTAAAACCACCATTTCTAAAAATTGTAACGCAGATCCAAACAATTCCCCTTTCTTTTGCAGCTTTTCTTTCATTTTTTAAAATTCCATTTTTAGTTCCAGAAAAAGTTCTGCCATCTTTGAACACTTCTAACCAGCACTTTAAAGCAACCAAAATATAAAAAATTATTTCCCACAGTTATTTTTAATTAGTTCATCTAGCAATCCAATAACCAAAATTTCCAAAATCACCAGATAATCCCAGAACAGTTTCTTCTTACTTCTTTCTTTGTTTCAAAGTTCAATGCTTCACTTTCACTTTCTGGAGGCTCTATTTTATTGTAGCAAGGTTTCACTTTGTATCCTTTAAAGATCCTTTAAAAATTCACAATTAATTCCTTTTACCACCAGGTGGCACTCTCTGCTATGTCCAAATTCCACCCTTTTTCTTCCTTTTTTTTTTTTGTCTTTAATGGCTTTTAAGTTTCAAAATTCTTTATTTTTCCTTTGACACATTCAAGTTCAGCTTTAGATTTGCCTATTTAGTGTCAAGATCATTTTGAGCAAAAAACTTCCAACAGGCTTCTCTTCTGAAGTTCAAAGCCACTTTCAGCTATCAAATTTCCCCCTTTCCCCCCCTTCTTTTCTACCGCCACTTTAAAAGTCTTTCTTTAAAATTCTTGATTATTTTAATTCTGGGGTACCTTGTATTTAGATGTTACTACTGCTTAGCCTGGTCATTCAAACTGTCCTCTTCTTCTCCACTCCTGCACCCTGTTATTCGATCTTCGGGGTGGCCATCTTGACCACCACTACTGCTACCTTCAAAGAGGAGTAAATGCCAAGCCAAGGAGGGGAGATGTGGCTCCCCTCAACCCAGCTGGCAGTCTCCCCCTTCTTTGCCACCTCTATGGAGTGGCCTCAGCCCCAAATCCAGTAGATCGGGGCCCTCTGGCAGAGAGCACAAACCGAAACTGCAGACGATCGCGGATTTTGGTCCGTTGCCGAAGAAGCCTAACCAAAAGGTGGTTTGCTTAGAAACAGGGGTTTCGGTCTCAAGTGTTATCGTAAGTCGAGAACTACCTATATCCTTTTTAGATGGTACAATAATTTCAAATACTTCAGCATTGTGAAATGTGACCTATTTTTCTGTATATGTAAATCAGAGCCTGATATAATCAAGCTTTCAGTGATAGGCCACCACTTAAAATACATAAAGAGTGTTCTATCACATAGATTATCTGTAACTGATAATACTGTGCCTATTTATATCCTCTGAATATGATAAAATACTCCTGTGATGCTAAAAGCAAATTAAAATAACCTGTGTTGGTGAACAAGGTTTGAAATTAATGTATCATGTGCTCTAATACCACTGGTGTACAAAGGTTTGTACTTCCTCTACATTCATTGCTTACAACTTGCCATTGATAAATTAATCTTTTTTCCTTCCAAAAATAGCATATACATACACTTTAATACTAGAAAATGTTTTTGTTGGGTATATGGATACTCCAACTGGTTTGGTTGAATAAATATGTA